ACCAACACATATGAACGTTACGCTGTCTGTCTACAATTAGCTCCGCTTGAGAACAAACATAATTTTACTGCATTTTGCACTGCTGTACATGTTCACCCTAGATAATAAATAAGGCATTAACCTTTCAAAATTGGCTAGTTAATAAGTTTATACATTAACCTTTCAAAATTCGGAACCAAGCCCAATGTAGTTCAGTACATAACCTTGGTGTTGACACACATGGACTTGAATAAGTTTACCTCGCATGGATTAAAGTCGATCATTTCTTTGTACTATATATTAAAAAAAAGCAATGTCAAAGTAAAATAATTGCTTTAAATTCTCTATAAATTTAACGGTGGTGGACAATCGTGACTTTAAAAGCCAACATGGATATTAATTAAAGTAGTAGATTTAAGTTTTGTGTGTGGTGTGTCCTTTGTGTTCGAATACATGACATCAGAATGTCGTTTCTGTTATCTTTTAATGCTAGTTAAGTTTAAAAGGTATATTAATATAAAAAAGAGTAAAATTAAATAACTAATAAAATGGAACTCCATTAGTGACCCGAGATTCCTAACACATTGGTCTGGAATTCTTGGTCTTAATACAATCCTGTAGCGATATACCCGCCCCCCCCCCTCCCCCATCCACCACATTGTTATCTACCACTTGGAGCGAGTAAGTCGATTGCACACATTTGAAAGATCACCAAAATAAGGTTTTAAGAGAAGGACCAAACTAACTATGTAGTACCATTATAAGTAATACAAAGCTATATTAAAAAAATGACGTTCTTCCGGTAAAATAAAATTTAAAATATAAAAACCTTCCCTAATAAAGAAACATAACAGATTAAGGACTATTAGTATAACTAAAACACCATACTTGACAATAAATGGATACATTTAGAGACCAAGGGAAAATATCCTGGGCGGTGGAAATGTTTAGCGACAAGAGAAGGGAGTCTGTGTCCAATAGCATTTTTATCTGTATTCTAGGTGGGTAGTTAGAAATCGATTTTCACATTCCAAATGAAAGAGCTGCTATAATCACAGCGCTTGTGGGTCTTCACGTCTCCAATTGTGTGCGATATGTCACGATTGGCTAAGATAGGCAGAATGTCGTATCGCAACCAAAACTGGAGTGTGTGAGGCCAGTTTTAATATATGTGCATAAGGAAATCATCCTAAGAAAATGTAGCATTTGCGGGAAAATGAACAAAAGTAGTAGTTTCAGAAGGATGGTTTTGATTAAATATGGATCCCCACACTACTCCTCGCAACATTTGTTAAAAACAAAGAAATAACAAGCCCAGGATCTTAATCCATAAATGTAGGTGTGTATGTTGCAAACACGTGTCATAGTTTGAATATGCCACAAAACAACACTGGTCTTCTTAACAGTTGGTAGAGCAAATATTATATGTAGATTTAGTCGTAACAATACTATTTACATGACCAACTGTTGGAGGATCTTCATACAACTAGAGACGTAATATCACATTTCCCTTGAAATTTGTATACTTCGAGATAACTAACGACATTATGGACAATTGTCATAAATGGTCACCGTCATCTACTTCCTAAGCCTACCAAATATTTTTCTTTATCTAACCTATCCCTACTGCAATCATAACAGATTTTCAAGAGAATGTAATCCGTAGTGTAAAAATATGAATTTAAACAGCTTATATAGTTTAACCAAGTTTTATATATAACAAGGTAAAATCAAATTCCAACATATACAAAAATACCGAGTGACAAGAGATAAAACCAGCGGCTGCCAGGCAGGATACGCCCACATTTTGCAAGAGATGGATAGAGAATAAGCTAAAAACAAAAACGATTTTTTGTACAATCAGGGGCCATAATGCAGAAAGTTATGGTCTGAAATGCGCAAATATCAAAAGGGGCTGAGATTTTTGGAATATAAAGATATGTTTTAAGTTTCATCAAAATTTGATAAAAAATAATGTGACTCTAGAGGGACCATAACCTTTGTATTACACACTTATACACAATTTGCGTACAAAGAGCGGCCATTTCGTCAGGTAGTTTCATTTTGATATTCCCGAAATTCTAATTCAACCTTCATTATGGTGGAATGGTGATATATCTAAACGTTTTTTTTTAAAATCGGATAAAAATTGTGACCTTTAGAGGGACCATAAGCTCAAAACATATATTTAAAGTGTCATCCAAATCGGATAAAAACTGTGGCCTCTAAAGGGTCCACAACCTTGATATACCATATTTTTACACTATTTGCGTTCAAGGGGCGGCCATTATGTCCGTCAGTTTTTATCCGATTTTCACGAAATTCGAATTCAATCATCAATATTGTATAACTGTATTATATTGTATTATATTCACACGTTTTGTTTTTTTAAATCGGATAAAAATTGTGAACTCTAGAGGGGCCACAAGCTCAAAACGCGATTTTTCGTACAATTAATGGCCATAATTCAGGAAGTTACGATCCGATATGCGCGAATATCGAAAAGAACCAAGATCTTGGGTTATAAACATACATTTCGAGTTTCATCAAAATCGGATCAAAATTGTGATCTCTTGGAGGTCCACAACCTTGATATACCAGACGTTCACACTATTTGCGTGCAAGGGGCGGCCATTTTGTTCAACAGATTTGGTCCAATTTTCACGAAATTCGAACTCCAGCATCATTAGGGTGCAACGGTGATATACTAAAACATTTTTTTTTTAAATCGGATAAAAATTGTGACCTCTAGAGGGACTACAAACTAAAAGCGCGATTTTTCGTACAATTAGGGGCCATAATTCAGGAAGTTACGACCCGATAAGTGCGAATATTGCTAGAAGCCACGATATAAATATGCATTCCACGTTTCATCAAAATCGGATGAAAATTATCACCTCTAGAGGGTCCACAACCTTGATATACCATATTTTACACTATTTGCGTACAACGGCCGGCCATTTTTTTCGGCAGTTTTGGTCCGATTTTCGCGAAATTCGAACTCAACCATCATTAGGGTGTAACGGTGATCTACTTAAACGGTTTTTTAAATTGGATAAAAAGCGTGACCTCTGGAGGGAACACAAGCTACAAACGCGATTTTTCGTACAATCGGGGGTCATAATTCAGGAAGTTACGATCCGATATGCGCGAATATCGAAAGAACCAAGATCTTTGGGTTATAAACATGCATTTCAAGCTTCATCAAAATCGGATCAAAATTGTGACCTCTAGAGTGTGCACAAGCTAAAAACGTGATTTTATCCATGAAGTTATGGTCCGATACATGCCAATATCGAAAGGAACCGAGATATTTGGGAGATAGGCCTATATTTTAAGTTTCGTCAAAATCGGATAATTGTGACCTGTAGAGTGTCCACGAACAAATTGTGGACGGATGGACAGGGGCGACGACAATATACGTCCACATGAATGTGGACGTATAAAAAATCTGAAGACAATGCTCTTTATTGTTTATTCACCATATGTGTAGGCCTAACTGTGAAAAGTCAAAATACTTATTCATTAAAGAGGCAGAAACAGCAGACGAACAATCAAAGCCAGTTTGAATAATAAAATCTCAAAAACACTGATCGGTAGAGTGTTTACAAGTTTTCAGTGGCAGTGGCAATAATTCAACAGCATTAAAGTAGGACTGCAAATTTCGATAAAGTTCCTCGTGATGACTTGCCAAACAGTCCGAGCAAGTAAAAAATCATTCATTTTCAAAACCCTGACCTATAGGGTATTTAACAATCTCTCACAGTTTGGAAACAAAATAGTCCCACTTGTAGACCATTTACAATGTTTCGGTCTCCGACAGGGCATTTATTAGTACAGTTAAGTAGTGGGGCAAATGGCTTGGTCGCCGAAGCAATAAATCTGCAAAAAAACATAATGTGCAACTCTGAATTTCGAAAGGGTCCCTCATAGTGAATAAATTTAATACCCTGTATAATTTTTCAATTTGACATATAACAGCAACCGTTAAAATGGTAAATGAACCATCGTTTTTTCTATATATCCTGTGCAAACGTAACACATACGTTAACTCTGATAATTATTTGTATTCTGCACACTGAAAACGAATGTAAGGATGGAAAATTCCGTATAATTTCACCAATTATCTGTTAATAATAATTGTTTTAATATTTTAGGTGAAGAATAAGCAATAAAAACAGTTGAGTGCGGGGCGAGTCTCTGCTATTCATTTTACACACACACTAAAAATTGCATGCTTTTGATTTGTAAGTACAATTTCCAATTCAGCTGCTACCCGAACGACCACCGTCTCAAAGAGTAAAACTCTATAAATTGTTCTCTGCCATGTACACAATATCCGACAATTCTGTGGTATATAAGTAATATGAATCCACGGAAACATAAGGTGGGGGTGGGGTGGCCTAGTGGTCTAGAGTATCATGCTTTGATCCCTGATGGGAGCGTATGTGGCTTGGTGACAGGGCGCCTTCTCAACCTCGTGAGTTTACTTCGGGTATTCCGGTTTCCTCCCACAGGAAAGACCCCTGCGCTACGATAATAAAATAAGACGTGTCCGCGATATCAGCCTCGGTGGTAGCGGACGTTAAGCATTAATAGAAGAAGAAAGGAAACATAAAAAGGTAAAAGCAGTTATATCATGCCACCAATAGATCTCCGAATAGAATAAACAACCTTTTCTGGAAATATAGGTTTCAGACAATGTGCTGGCTTAAATTGGGAATCAACAAAAGGAAAATCAATTCAACCATCGACAAATTTAGCAATTCACTTTTTTGTCAAGATGAACATTTTCGATTCAATTTTAGCGGAATCTAAAATTATACATTAATAATGGCCCAGGCCTACTTTAAAATAAATAATTATAGTTAAAAAATAAGGATTGGCTAAAACTAGCTCTCTTTCTAGAACCTACGATACAACAAATTAATTCATGAGATTGTTACTGCAATAGTATATAAATGGATATAAAATAAATAAGGTTTCTCACAGATAAAACAATAAATAACTTTAATACTTACGCAGTGAGGCCATCGCATTGGTGTTTCTGATGACGAGTGGTGGATATAACTATGTTTGGTATGTTAAATAATCAAACATTATTTATTTAAAACAAGATGTCCTTGGAATGTCCAAATAAACAATCCAGTTTAGTAATTCCAATGCTATTAAGAAAACATAGACGAATATCTCATTCTCTGATCTTCATTACACTGATATGGGAGAAAACATTAAAAAAAATATTCCATCCAAATAATTTCAAGTTATCAGCCTTTCTTTCAGTTATCGATATTATTTTCTATATTCATACATTTAAATTACAGATGAACTTTTATCCAATTTATTATCCAATCTTTTTGTCAATTTATGACTATAACACTGGGCTAACACAAGGAAGGGTACTTTCTCCCGTTCGATTAATTCTAATTATTAATGTTTTAACGAATTTGATGAATCATGTGACATAATTAATGAAAACTGGTAATTTGTAACCATAATCAGTAATACACTTTTCACCAAGTTTCTCGGTTTTGTAACTTTTCCGGCAGGGCAACTTTTGTATTTTCTCAATTAAACTATTAGTTACAATATCCGTCTTTCAATAGATCTTTGTATAACCTTTAAAAGTCCTTTCAAATCCTAGTCCTTCTTCAAAGACATATTTTCTTTCTTATTATTGTAAAACACATATCACTATATCAACATATCCTTTATAAACTACAGCCAAATTATGTTAATGAACCCCATATACTTTCTTCTTAAAGCTTACACCTAAGAAAATATTTTGTTTTGATACAAAACAAATGTTGAAACAATCATTTCTTTAAGAAATATTTGCAGAATGTTACATAGAACAAAACATCCCTTATATGATCAAAATTGCATGTTTAAGAATTAAATTTTGCACATGGCTTAAACGAAAGTGATGTTGCCACTAAGTAGGTGTTTTGTTAGAAAAATTTAAAATCCCAAGACGGCAAACCATTTGCACGTCTCAGCAGACGCTACTATCACTATACTTAATGAAGAAGACAAAACTAAACTTGTAGCAGTGTGAACAAAAAAAGTCACCAGTCTTTATACTGTGTTGACATTACACCTGAATGAGGGCGGAAACTGAACAACATAAATTAGACCAAAGTTATGTTGATCATGTATCGGATCAGACCACCGCTGCTCGGACCAGATTAGTAACAGCGATAGTTTATTTGCGATATTCACATCTCGTGCGGCCTCGTTTTATTATTAATCCTATTATAACTGAGATCTAAAACGTTTGAATCATTAATAATTATATAAATTTTGATAGTCTTATGGTTTTTATTCAAATCGCCCAATTCTAAATTATGTTATGGCCATTTAAAGTTTAAGTTTATATCTATTCATCTAACATCGCCATCTTTATGTGTTTTAGATAAATAAAGTAATAATAATTATATTTATTTCGTGCAAGCCAATCCATTCATTGTGAATGGAAGCTTATTTTACACTCAGATGTGCTTTAAAATCACTCGCCTGTACAACCTCGTGGGTCCTCCGGTTTCCTCCCACTGCTAAAGACCCCTACGCGCAAGCGAATAATAGAAATAAAAAATTGAACCATGTGTTAGTCCCGAAATAACCTAGTTTGTGTCGAGTGGACGTTAAACCCCATTTCGTTTTAAAATTACAGGATGTGGGGAGGGGTGTGCGAGTGTGGATGGCCGAATGGTTAGCATGTGCGCGCTGTATCATAAGGTCTGTCATTAAGTCAACAGTTGGTTTGCTAAAGACCCCTACGCGCAAGCGAATTATTTAAATAAAATTGAACCATGTGTAGGGGTGTGTGTGTGTGTGTGTGTGGGTGTGTGTGTGTGTGGGTGGGGGGGTATGTGTGTGTGTGTGTGCGTGTGTGTGTGTCTCTCTCTCTCTCTCTAAAATTACTAATTTCTTTACATTAAAATGTTACTATTATATTTTACATTTGGAATATAATATGTGAACGGAACAGGCTTCTGCGTTTAACATAGTATTTCAGTCCATATTTTCTTCTGGAATAGTAAAATTTCTATGAAGGCATGTGTTCAATACCAGTGTCATTTAGCAAATAAGTTAAAGGTGGTGGATTTGTCGAATTCTGAATACAGTAGCCCACACAATGGGTCTTACCTGCAGGGACCCCGAGAACATTTTGGTATCCCTTGGAAAGCCTTCTAAGGGTCCAAATATTTATCATTCTATGGCCGATTTAGGCACTCCAATAGCATTTAGTCGCCTTTGGTGCCCCTGCGGAAACGGATATTTCTATTGATAGCTGGGAACAGAAATGTACATAATGTTAACAGAAAAACTTGTCTGTAAACTATGAATTGCCTATTGGAAATATAATACAAGCAATAGAACATAAGCTATTTATAGAGTAAAATGTGCTAAATTTTAGGCGCTAGCTCACTAACCTGGAGGTCTGGTATACAATTCCGACTTTGGCCCAGAAGGGTCCTTGGTATTTTCTAACCTGGTTTCTCATTGACGAAGGGTATAGGCAAGCAAAAAAACTCTAGACATTCGGGTGGGACAAAACAGCGAGGTCTCATATACCTTTGAACGTAGGAATCTAATAGTAGGCAATTTTAACGTTACCCTTACGTTTAATACGCCATCAAGTTTGCTTGATATAACAAAACGCTTTAACTTAAACCAACTGGTTACAGAGACCCAGCATGAATCACGTGTTACTCTTCAACATTATTAGATGTCGTTTAAGTTAGCTGTCCCGATTTTCTCATTCAACAAATGTTCTTGAAGCAAGTTTGAGTGACCACTTCCCGGTTAGAGTCATTTTTACATTTAATAACCCCCAACCGAAAAGCTACAGCAGAACTATATGGTCATATTTCGAAATTGAAGCATTGAATTGGCAAAGTAATTTGGAGATAGAAACAAAAAAACTTTTCTGATGTCTTAATTAAAGCCATTGGGGATTACACCCCACATAAAAACGTGATTATACGCCCCCAAGACGCGCCATGATGAACGGTCACTTAAGGAAAATCATTCGCAAAAGAATCCGTATACACCCCCACTCCAAACGCCAGAACACCTCCGAATCGCAACTTTGTTATTTTTAAAATCCGCATATCGAGACAATTATACTTTGACAACCTCGACCAAAGAATTTCAGAGAACAGTTTTAATGAGAGTAATTAGTTGGCGACTCGTTAAATCAATTGTCACTAAACAAGGTAACTCAATTATAGAAATACCCCCTTTCAACTTTAATAACACGATATTTTACGATACGAACGAAAATGCAAATATTTTAAATACATAGTGTGCACATCTACCGAAATGCATGATACTTAAACCCCTTTTTGCGTCAAAAAGCCCGTTGGCCTGACAACATCAATATGGATACCCATAACAAAACGTTTCAATTTCCTAATGGACAACGTCACTTTTCTCAAATTAAAAATCAATATCTCTATTATCGACGCTAGAAAATTTTTGAGACATGTATTTTTAAACACATTTTTAAACATAAACATATTTTGACCCCACATTCGACTGTGTTTGGCACAAGGGTCACATAAACTCTATTTGAATCCGGAGAAAATTGGCAAGATTACTTGAAAATTACTTACAAAACCGCCAACAGTCTGTTATAATCCGTAGTCGAAGCTCAAGATACATTCTGGAGTACCACAAGGCCCGGTTCTGGGACCTCTCCTATTTATGATTTATGTAAAATGATATTACACGTGGGATAAATGCAAATATCTGTCTTTTTGCGGACGATACGTCGCTATAAATGGTAACCGAGGATCAAATAGGATGCTAATCCCTTCTAAATGAAGACTTAAAAAAACCTTAGTAACTGGTCAAAAATTTGGAAGATTAACTTTAATCAATACAAAACAAAGACTATTATCTTCTCAAGAAAACAACGCCCTACTCTTGTTAATCTTTACTTTGATGGAACAGCACTAACTGATAGCAAAGATCATAAGCAGCTAAGAGTTTATTTAAGTAGTAATTGTAATTGGGCTGCTCATATTAATTATACCGTTATTAAAGTTAGTAAACTTAGTTACTTGTCTATTCTAGTTCCTCTCAAATCCTTGGATATAAATCATTAACAGACGCGGAATTCAAAGTACAGAAATATTCCCACAACTACTACTTTTATAAAGATAGGTTGCCAGGCAACGAAACATACGCCCACAGCAGCTAAATCGTCCGGGCAGTCATCAAGTGTAGTGTTGTCGCATATTTTTACTTTTTTTGGTAATGAAACATTTATAATACACTAAAATCTGATTAAGAGTAACAACCCATGAAGTAATTAACAATCTGAAGTCAATCGGATGATAACTTTAGCCTCTAGAGCATCACAGGATTTTTCAAAGTGATCAAGGGCCATAACTTTGGCAGTATTTACCAGATATCGTTAAAAATGAATAAGCTTCTTCGTCTCATGACCTTAAACACTGTGTATAAATTTAAAGTCAATCGGATATTAACTTTAGCCTCTAGAGCGTCCACAAGATTTTTCAAAGTGATCAAGGGCCATAACTCTGGCAGTATTTATTGGAAATCGCTGAAAATCAATAGGCTTCTTCGTCTCATGACCTTAAACACTGTATAAATTTAAAGTCAATCGGATATTTACTTTGACCTCTAGAGCGTCCACACGATTTTTTGAAGTGATCAAGGGCCATAACTCTGGTAGTTATCGAAAATCGTTGAAAATCAATAGGCTTCTTCGTCTTATGACCGTAAACACTGTGTATAAATTAAAGTCAATCGAATATTGACTTTGACCTCTAGAGCGTCCACAAGATTTTTTGAAGTGATCAAGGGCCATAACTTTGGCAGTAATTATCAGAAATCGGTGAAAATCAATAGGCTTCTTCGTCTCATGACCTTAAACACTGTGCATAAATTTAAAGTCAATCGGATATTAACTTTAGCCTCTAGAGCGTCCACAAGCAATTGTGGACACCGGACCGACGGACGGACGGACGGGGGCGACAACAATATAAGAACACATTTCAATGTGGGCGTATAAAACTCCTTTTCATCGTTCGTAATAAACGATTGGAATAATTTACCTGAAAATATAAAATCGTCTTCTACTACAAAAATCTGTTACTACCTAAATATTTTAACACCAGAAAGCAGACTAGACTGCATGGCGTATGCTCGTCTTCATTAGCCCGGTTAACCCCCATTTCATTTCATTTCATTGCGTTTTCTAGATCCATAAAGGGTGCTTCTACTGATAGCTATAGCAAAACTTGTTCACACTCGAACCCGCTTAGGGGCTTGCATCGTTTCTCGGAACCTGGCTGGCTTACTCGCTATTTTCCTGCGACATCTACTAAATATCTTGTCCTTTGTGGCGAACGTCCGAAAATGCCAATGTGATAAAAGGTAATCAAGGACATAGAGTTCATAAATAGAAAGTTTATACCATAAAGTAAATGGTAATCTGGTCTGGTCAATACGACAAAAGGAACCGAACAAGGAATGGAATAGTTTCTAACAATCCACGATGCTGGATATTAATGGCATCTATTTGTGTGGGATACAATCCGTCATAAGATCAATTTAGACAACCCAACAATGAGAGACGAACGCATGTGACAACAATATACGTTTATAACAGTGACAAATCAAAACAGAAACAGTGGCTTATTTCTATTTGTGTTGCTGCTTTTATTCCAAATAACAATATGCATACAATTGGCCCAATGTGCAGATTATGAACGGTTATGCAATTTTGCATTTATAAACACACGGGGTTCCACTTTTTTAAATTATAAAAGTCTTATAAGATTGCTATAAACAAAATCTTACAGAAAAGCTAATTGTTCATTTTAAAGTAATTTTTATTTAACTAAACTGTTATCCTGACTGAGCTTTTCAAATGTCTTTCGGGCACAAAAGGTAGGATTTCTTTAATCTCTTTGAAATGCAAAGTATTTTCATAGGTGCCTTTTCATAAACGTACACGAACATATCCGTCTTTATTTGAACTTATAAGAATAGTTTGACAAAAGCAATGTTGGAGCACTAAGGGTCTAATTATTTATATAACCCATATTGAAAGCTAAGAAAGGGTAAATATTTGTAACCGTTGTTTTCATTGGTCAACACCTTATAAAGAAACGTTGTCTTTGTCTTGGATGTTTTGACTGGCTGTTACTGACGTTGTACCGTTATTAGATCTAGCTCTCTGGTAGGAATGATACAGTTTCATTACGTTGTCTCTTGTCAAACACTTCACGTCCCTGTATAATAGAATAGATATGTTTTCAAAAATAAGACGAAAATAAAAGAAAATGTTGAAAGAATGAAAAAGGAAGACAAGAAGCTTAGCTTGTTTTTCACGTCACACCCAAATGTAATGAAGCACCTGGTTATAAAGAGTATAATGCGTAGAGGTTGAAATGTTAACTTAAACTGATCGTTATGTTTGTCTTTTAATCATGGTTAACATTTAATTGTAGAAGTAATCTATCATAATATGCCGATCTTCACATATTTATATTGCAATGTGAAGTGGTGCACAGTCTACTGTCAGGGATGGTGTCAACATGATTAAACTGCCAAAGAAAAGGAAAATGTTAAGTGGTATCACATGATCCGAAAATAGAGAGAGATCGTTTATCACTTGCAGATTTCACAATAGGAAATTAGAAGGTTAATATGAAGTTAACGATAAAGATTTATACCGGTCCTGTACTATTAAAGATGACTAGGAGGTTTATACGAAGATCACTTGATAGGTTTATACCGGCACAGTACCAATAAAGTTAAATAGGGGGTTTATACGAAGATCACTTGAAAGGTTTATACCGGCACAGTGTCACTAAATACCAAAAGAATACTTGTTAGTCGACAAGGCAAAAAAATTCCTGTTCCAGACATTTGTACAATAAATATGACTCGACGGACACCAAAAGAGGGTGATTAATGGCGGTATTATGTTAAAATACTTACTTTGAAATGTCATCTTGGGTCACAAATTCAACATCACCGTTCTTAACTCGTCTAAATGTACCATTCTTAGATATAACTCCCAGAACTTTAGCACCATCACCATTTTTGGTTTCTGAATGTGTTTTCGATACGTTACCGCTTTCGTCCGTGACTGTTCGAGTTTCTCTGGTAGCCTCGTATATAACCTTAGATGACATAGGCCCACTCCTGGAAATGGTGCCATCTTTGGTTAGTGTATTATAACCAGATGACATACTCATTTCGGATATAGCATTCATACCAGAGTTGTTAGTGGCTGTTACTTCTGACTGTTGTTGTACATTCTGCTGGTGTTGCTGTTGTTGCTGTTGTTGTGGTTCTGATGTAGTGGTTGTGGTACTTGTACGGATTTCTTCATCTCTTGTGTAACCATAGTTATAGACGCCACCACTGGTATTATTGGTAGCAGGTCGAGGCTCTTGAGCATTCTTCACTAAAGTGGTTGTAGATCGGTCTAATTCAGCCTCGCTCTCTCCTCTCAGATCACTTCCGTACTTAGCACTGATAACCGAGCCGTATTCGTATTCACGCTTTTTCTCAGCCCGATCTCCAGCAGACGCCGTTCCCACGTTGTGTCTGGTGCCGAAGACCTCTTCTGAGGTCAAGTAAGCGCTGCCCATTCGAGTGTGTCCCTTTTTGTGACCGGTGTGAGAGGCGTCCACTTCATCAACGCCATAATTATCCCTATACCCCGTGCCATATCCGCCTCCCTTCAACAGAGTAGACATACTGTTAGCATCATCACCAAACCAACTACCATATCCATCGTTAAGCCCATACCAACCGGATGCTTCTAGTGATTTTAATTTGGCATCAAAATCTTCGATTGGTACACTGAAAAATTAAATTTTGTAGGAAAATACAAGAAGCGGTTACTGGTGTAAATACCCTTATACCTAAGAATCGACATGATATAAAGAGATGAATCCAAGCATATGACAGATTAATATACCTCTAATTGAAACACCCGTGACATTTTTGTAAAATGAACTAATTATCATCTCTTCTAATATATTACAGACAATAATTACAGTAATTACACTGACCTACTGAAATAATAGAAAATGTTATCCATGTACAAATGACGTTATTAGCCTAGTTTAATGACAGATGATTTTAATTGTACATACCCACGAAAGCTTTCAACCCAGGCTCGCGGCAATTTGATGTCACTGAAATACGAAATCAAACAGAGTTATATTGGTTGAACCGGTTTCACAACTTCTAACTGAACCAGTTTCAGTAGGATCAAAACGATTACTAAGACGAGGATAAGTCATATCCTTAACTGAATACTTTGGTTATATAATGCTTTTTATGGTAATGCATACTCACTCCTATCTAAAAAAGTAATTAATCGTGTCCGTCTTTACTAATATCATTGTCCTTGCGAAATCGAGGACAAACGGCCAATCAGCTTTCTGTAAACTTGTACCAAGTTACAGGAATTCGAGTTACACCCACAAACGATTAGAAATCAAGTACATGCAGCCCATTTGCATGCGCGACGAGCGCGTGTTGTGCCTCCATTAACTCGCCAGAACATGAGAAACAGGCGTCAATGGTGTAGGCAGCGTAGAAATTGGGTAATCGTCGATGGGCGCGTGTAATGTTCTCAGATGAGTCCAGATTTACTCTGGATTTCACCGATAGGCGTGCTCGCGTTTGGAGGCGTGTAAATGAGCGTCATGCTACCGTTAACGTCAGACAGCATGGCAGATTTGGGCGTGAGTCTGTTGTGGTATGGGGAGGAATCACCATGACTATCAGAACGAACTTGCATATTGTTCAAGGAAGTGTCACTGGAGTGTATTACCGTGATCACATCCTGCCACCGATAGTTCTGCCCTTTGCTCAACGTGCAGGTCGACGTTTCATCTTTCAAGATGATAATGCCCGTGCCCACCGCGCTCGTGTCGTTAATGACTACCTCCAGCGTCACCATATTGTCCATTATGCCTTGGTCAGCCATGAGTCCAGACTTTTCCCCTATAGAGCATGTCTGGGAAATGAACGGGAGACGTGTTGGTCGACTTCAACGTCAACCGACAACACTGCAAGAATTGGCCGTGGCACTGCAAGAGGAGTGGGTCAGATTGCCCCAAATCGTGATTGGACGGTTGATTAGGAGCATGCCACCACGAATTGCTGGATGTCTGAGGATTGGTGGAGCAATTACCCATTATTAAGACAAAAATCAAAAACGTCCATTTTCACTTTTGACAGTGTATCTCTTTGCGAGTAAAATGGGGCCGTCAGATAAGCCACCCATATGAACTGTTTATGTTTATGTGTAGGCAATTGGCCTGTTATTAACATACACTGGTTACCTCTAATAAAAACAGCGGTGCATTTCCGCAGTTTTGTATTGTTTCTGAATATATAATAATTACTATACGTAAAAACTACTAAATCTGAGCTTACACTTCATGAAGTCTTCCAGCACTATCACCACCGGCCCCGGCAGCTGCCGCACTACTAGCACCACCTGCTGCAGCAGCTGTTTTGGACGAGGCAGCAGCTCCTCTGTAATAAATGTAATTTTAAACATACATTATGGAAGAGCTAAATCTGCCTATTGCAGGTCTGATATGTTATCTAAATTATTAATTAGACATTACTTAACTTATCCAGACAATAATCAACTCTCGATGTCATCGCTAGCCTGCAATATTTATTGGATTAGGATTGGATTTGCTACTCGACTTTCATTCATGATTTAATCATGAAATAGATAATCGAGACTATTTTTTTATCCTACCTACTTTAGTAATGATGATCGAGGCTAGGCGGAAAATTCAATCGCTAAAATCTCGGTTCAGAGTGGATCAATTTGACTGAAATTTTCAGCAAATTGCCTTTACATCATCTAGTTTTTAACTATTATAGTGAGAACTGTCAGCTTTTTATCTAATCTCCCATAACGTATCTTTAATTATTTATATGATTAAACGGGTTATTTATAGGACATAAGGCTAATATCCATCACCTACTGTTAAGCCATTCTTATAGGGTTCAATGATCTCAGATCTGGTTTAATTTACCCAATTTTCTAAAAGGGTACGTGGAATGAAATGGGTTTAACGTCTTACTTTTCTGCATTAACCGGGAAAGTAAAGACGGGCATACGCCATTCACTGGGCAATGAATTTCAACTGTCATGGTTTTTGTACGTGTACATCTACGAGAAGATCTTTCTCTGCCAAAACTGGGATAGAATCCAGGATTTCCTGGGTTGTAAGCAACCATGGCCCCAATTAGTTTTGTATCATGTGTTGTTCACCATATTGGTGATCCTTTTGAATATCACTACAAATGCCATGCGAGTCGTACATTTTAACTAAAACTGCCTCGATCGACGTATGCATCTCAAACGCCCATAGTCTACTTAACTGCTAAATAAAATCGAAAATTATGTTTTTGTCAGACAAAGTTAGAAGAGCCCTTTACATGACTTACCCACAACATGGCCAACAAAATCCTGGTGGACAAAGACAACACAGAATACACAGCAACAAACTAAGTAAGGTAGCTAAACCAATGAGTGCCCCAGCTAAAATAGCTGTATCTTCATTAGATAAACCAGGTATTACAGCTACTCCTGTTCCTACTGGAACGCTTCGAATACCATCTACAGTTCCTTTCAATATAAAAAACGGTTGTAGAATCAAATTTATAATTATGTAATGATAATTTTAAAGTGAGGGTCTTTTGTGGTTTTGACTTACAAGTTAATTCCATGCGTCCTTTGTAATCCTCAAGTATTTAAGTGTTCACAGTAATATAATAAATTTAAAAATAAAATGAAATGAAGTGGGGTTTTATGGCCTACTTTAAAATTAAAAATGGAGGAGGGTGTGTCTTTATGGTGTGTTTTTATTTTTGTTTTAGAGCTTAACAATTTGCTTTTTATGTGGAACTTTGTGGTTCCTAGTATCTAACGATTAACATTAATAACAATTTGATTTTAAATTTTGTTTTAATGTTTTATTCTTTGCACACATTCCTTTTTGTGTTGAAAAAACAAAAATATTTTATGGAACATTATTCACAGTCTAGCCGGCTACATTCATTCAGATTTTGTAAAAATTCATATTCTGAGTTCTTTAAAGCTCAAAAATTCATTTTTGTCCTCACGGCAAATCGCCGACATTTATTGTAGACAGCTGACTTGTCTGGTAATAACCCTTTTAAAGACCAAGTGATATCACTTGGACGCTGCATGGATGTCAATAGTACAGCAAAGATAAACAATAAGGGTCTACAATTTAGCAAGTCAGTGTCTTATTTGCTTTCTAAAATAAAATAAAAATCTATAAGACTTACCCCATTCCAGATCTCTACAGTAACAATAAGGTTCGGTGTTCCAATACATTCCTGTAAAAATTCATTAATTCAATAAATAAAACGTTATGTATATATGCCTACACCTAGCAGCTGTATTTTGGAAACATAAAAAAGTTGAATTGGATTTGTGAGCTTAACATAATATTCCTAAAAACTGACAGCAGTGTCTACGTGACAAGAGCGATGCATCAGTAAAATGGAATTTCAGTTTCTGTCTTCTTTGTGACTTCCCGAATTATAATATCGGGTACAATTGACGCGCAGTTCTGGATTTGGATATGATCCTTTGTTATGGCTAGTCTAAAATCTCAGCAATTTTGAAATGATTTTTCAACGCCTTTACCGCGTTTTCAATGCAAAAGGATAGCGACGCTATCAGTGAGCACTGATCTTAGACTAGCCGAACGCTCCAAGCAAATTTCAAACCAAATCTCAAAAACTTTTAGAGAGGTTTACTTGAATTAGGGACGGATGGATGAACGTACAAGGATCAGAAACACAAAATAAAACGCGGGTATGTAATAAATAAACGTATTAAAGAAAAATAACCATAATAGAAAGGTGAACTTAAATTTCTAATTTTTGAAAACAATACAAAATATTCATATTTATTTTTCAATTTATTTCATCGTGAATATCTTTATAACTGGTTCAAGTAAATTTCATATGTTATAATAAAATAAAAACTGTAAGTTGTTTACCTTTCATGATGGCTTTTATGGTGGTATAATCACTAGACAATCAAAATTCGAAAAAGTAAGTCCTTCGGGGTTCGAAAGAGTAGCACAGTGTTGTTAGTACGCGTATAAAAGACTTGCCAATAACTAAATCTTAGCGAGAATTTCCTTTGCTAATATACATCTTGTTAAACATGCCTCACCCTTACTAATATCCCAACAAATTAATCAAATCTACTAATTACTTATTTTAATTCGACTAAAAGGTACAAGATAAACGAGTTTTACGTTTGTTGTTGATATCCCCTTCATTGGGAACAGACGTGGACCCTTGTATCTGTCAATCAAAAACTAACTCTAAAGACGTCTGATGCCCAGGGGCACGTCATGTTAGTTTCGTATCTACAAGCAGAAACTGGTAAGTACACAATTACATGACTAATTCTTGTAAAACAACATGGTAATTAATGTATTTCTGTCATTAGCTATATATTAATTGGATATATCCATATGCGAGTTGGTATCAGGTGTCACCGTTTAGGATATGCATGGGCATAATTGTTAACATCGTCCGAGTTTGGCCGTGCTGAAAACGCTAACCGTTAATCTATAAGATATAGATTTTACCTTTGAACGGCTGTCAACAAAATTGGTAACTAGTAAGTATCGACAAACGGTGAATCAAAGGGAAAGGAAACAACAGAACCATGCAATGCTTATTTAGTAGGTAATATATTGTATATAATATAAGGAAGGGTACCCCGTGCAGCGAAATTTTCCCTACAGAAAGTTGATCTCGACACGGCGAATGTGCACGCTTCAGTTCCTTGTCTCGAAGTTATTTCTGGCTAATCACGCAGTGCGATAACATAGTCTACGAGTCTATAAATAGCCATCGCACGTGAAATTCTCTACATATCTATCAACTATTACAGCCGTAAAAAATTTATTGTTGACTATTTAGCTTTTTGGTTATTACAGCAGCTTTAGAAATTACGTTCGTTTTATTTTTTTAAATTGCTTTATCATTAACTATGCCGTTAGGAGCGGCATCTTTTGGTTTAGTACAGAAAATATCTCTGAAACACCCGGGTTAGGCAAGAAGATGATACTTGCATTAGTTTCATTTTACTTTTACAAGGTTCTTAAAACAATTGTTGAGTTGCCTAACGTGCGTGTTTCTAAATTCCATTTCTTGTTCCAGTAGTCTTGATTATCCCGACCTGTCAATCATAGATATAATGGTCGGTAGACTGGTTAAGCGAGATAGGTTCAAAACAAGGGCACGTAACCTATTTTTTACTCAAAACTGCCCGGATGTTATGGCCGACACTCGTAACCATTTTTCAGTCTATTATTTATGGATGGTTAAACATACATTATGCAAGAGCTACATCTGATTATTGCAAGTCTTTATTTAGGCTTCTGATGTCATAGAAATTATAAATTAGATCTTTATTTACACAACAAGCACAAAATCAACTCTTGCATAAGATTTACTGTTTAGCGTATCTTTGCTTTAGTGTGTTACGTTTAATTTGATCGGGAGACGTGTTCGTGGACATGGCACTGCAAGAGGGGTGTGTCAGATTGCCCAAATCGTGATTGGCCGGTTGATTAGGAGCATGCCACGACGAATTGCTGAATGTCTGAGGATTGGTGGAGCAATTACTCATTATTAAGACAAAAATCAAAAACGCCCATTTTCACTTTTGACGGTTTATCTCTTTGCGAGTGAAATGGGGCCGTCAGATAAGCCGCCCATATGAACTGTTTATGTTCATGTGTAGGCAATTGGCCTGTTATTAACATACACTGGTTACCTCTAATAAAAACAGCAGTGCATTTCCGCAGTTTTGTATTGTTTCTGAATATCCCTTATTTTTTATTTTTTGAAGAGTATAAATGTTGTGGTGTAATTGTCGAGATATTTGGAGATATTTATTTATGGTGGAGCGCCCTATATCGTATTCACACGAATCGCACAGACCCCCGCTCATATTTTATTTTCTATCTTTTGTTATTTTATATGATTTTTCAAATAATTCTAAGTAAAGGCTACGACTTTTTTTTCATTAATTTTTTCATTTTAGGTATTTTGTTGAGTGGGTGTATGTAAATTTACAAGTCAAATAATGTCATGGGCTTAACACAATTTTTGCAAATATGTAATATATTAGCTTACATATAATACGATCCATGAGAGAATTTACAATTTTCGCAGTATTTTAAACTTTGTTATCTCTGTCACGAAATTATTATTGGCGTTTAAGCAATCTTCGAAATTATTACAATATTCTTTGATGGAGCGTCGACAATTATAATATTATGTAGACTTAAAAGGGTAAAATCATCTTGGAACATGACAGTATAGGCAGTAACTTGCATAATACGTCACATCCGGCGTGCTATTCTGTTACTTAAAGATAGGCTATGTAAGATTTAGATAAAGAGCTTGCTATAATAATTCAAAAATAGATGATGCAAAAAGAATATATTGAAAATTTCATTCAAATTACTTTATTCTTGTACTGTTTGTAGTTCTGACAAGATGTGTGCATCTTTTGTTTAATATCGTAATCACGGTACTGGTATATATTCGAGTCTTGGCCTCGCTTCTCCATTTTTAAATTAAATCATTAATGTAATCTAACATTAACCGTTCTAATCTAGTTAAACTATCGAGCATCCGATAGCATCGAGAGTTAATTATCTTCTTGTCATGTTAATAAATGTGTAATTAATAAGGCCTTAAGGAGGGCTGCAATGGGTAAACTTAGCTCTTGAATAATTTATCTTTAAACAATTGACACTTTTGGTCATTCATAGTTGAAACTATTCAAACACAATGTAAACAACTGCAAAGACATCGGCGTGAGACAAAAATAAATTGTCATGGGTGAATGTGAGCTGTGTCTCAACATTTAACACAACATTATTGTGTGTTTTCTCAATATGTAAAACTAATTTTTCAACCGATGACATATACAATAAACATGTTAAACCCCATTTCATTTCATTTCATTTATCTTTAGTGATGATAAAACGGCGGACACATTTAGTACATAGCGATCCTAGTCGATTTTATTTGAAACCAAGGTTTGCTCGGTATTTGCTACTCTATTTTCTCTCACAATTTATATTATCTGTCTGCAGTACTTGATCTCACTTTTACTTTTTAGGTATAATAAAATCAATATAACCGTTAAAAGAGTTATACCTATTTGTTAGTGATGCAGCAATACTTTTCGAATACCAATTTTAGCTTTGGCTTATTTTGTCGACGGCGAAACATATTTCAACACTGACATTATATTGTCATTCCACTAAACTAATCAACTTAAACGAAATGAAATGGCTTTTAACCTAATAAATATGGTTTTTATTTCTGTATCAACCAGGCTGGTGAAGACGGCAAATCAACAAATTTAAAGGACAATATTGGTGTCAGCCATTATTAAACACGTTCCAAATATAATTTTAACACAGAGATCACTGCTACGATAGATGCGTAACGAAGATTTGAAGAAACGGAAGTGACGCAAAAAGTGGAAAACGAGTAGAAAAGGTCCATGCAGTATCATATAACAACTTTTCGTCTTCGAAGGAATTATCAATGAGCAGATATTCGACCGTGTATCTGTTATCGATCGTTACTTTAGTCGGTTATCTAGAAGGATAACTCTTGTTTTCCATTTTTTGCGTCACTTCATTTCCTTCAAATCTTCGTTAGGCATCTACCGTAGTAATAATCTGTGTGTTAAAATTATATTTGGAATGTGTTTAACCATTTTTATCATGTGAGAATGTACTTTAAACATACATTATGCAAGAGCTAAATCTGCCTATTGCAAGTCTTTATTTAGGCTTCAGTCAGATGTTATAGAAATTATTAATTAGACCTTTATTTACACGACAAGCTCAAAATCAACCCCGTAGACTCTCGGATGGCTTGGATACAGCTTGGATTTAAACAGTCGTCCATTTAAAATTAAATCAAGAAATGGCCGACCAAGCTGGCGTTTACTGGTAGTCACTGACGTCAATACCGAAACTGGTGATGAAAGGCCTACCAAGCGAGGGTACAGTATTCATTGAGAATGTTACTTGATAATCGATAATATGTGGGTGGGGTTATCGTCTGCCAATCAAACGATTGGCAATTCTCGTAGACGGTGCGGACACAGTTGACACTCCAAACTTCCAACAATGACAACTCCGTTCAGAATAAAGTAATTTAACTGAAATTTTCAATATTTTCTTTTTTATCATCTATTTGTTAATTATTATAGCAAGAATGGCCAACTCTTTATTAAACTCTTAACTAATGTATCTTTAAATAAGTAATAGAAA